TATTAAAAACATGAGTGGAATTTAAATATCTCTCTGGCATTGTTTAGCCTTCATCTCCACTTATGGAAAAGATATAAATTTATTACTGCATCTAAAACTTCTTTTATTAACATCTGTGGTGGAAGAGGGTCAGAGGAAAGTTCATTATTGATGTATAAATGTTGTAACCGAGTACCTAGCATTGTACGTGTGTCTATTTTCCCAGTTTTGATCATTGTTCTGCTGTTACATGGAACAATGGTATCAGAGAAACCTCAGAGAATACAAAGGTGTTTGCTACACTACTCCAATTTTTCTAAAGTCTAGAATCATTTCAAAAAACAAATGTAGGGCTGGAGAATTGGCTCGGTGGTTAAAAGCACTATTGCTCTTCAGAGGATGTGGATACCATCCCCATCATCCAGATAGAGCTCACAGTTATCCACAACTCTAGTCCCAAGAAATTCATCACCCTCATTTGGCTTCTGGGGACATTGCCCACATGTGGTTCACAGAGACATCCATGCAGGCAAAACACCCATACACACAAAATAATGCAATAAAAATTTTAAACAAGTAAAAGGTAAACATAAATGTGGGAAGCAATTTAGTCAACCACTGAAAAACCTGTTTACAAGAAGACCCACACACACACACACACACACCTACCCATCCATCCATTCAGTTCCCAGCAAATATCTACTATGCATGATCGACCACTGTAAATACAATAAAGGATCAAAACAAAACTTCTTCACATAGGACCTTACCTTCTGGTAAATTAGATTTAAAAAAATAAGAAGAAGGAGAAGGAGGAGGAGGAGGAGGAGGAAGAGAAGGAGAAGAAGAAGAAGAAGAAGAAGAAGAAGAAGAGGAGGAGGAGGAGGAGGAGGAGGAGGAGGAGGAGGAGGAGGAGGAGGAGGAAGAAGAAGAAAGGCATGGAGGCACATGTCTTTAATCCCAGCACTCTGGAGGCAGAGGTAGGGGGATCTCTATGAGTTGGAGGCCACCCTGGTCTACAGAGCAAGTTCCAGGACAGCCTCCAAAGCCACAGAGAAACCCTGTCTTGAAAAACTAAAAAAAAAAGAAAGAACAAAACATATATGTTGCATGACCACATAACTTAAATGTAAGAGTAAAATGGTTACGAGTTTGGGTCTAAACTATTACCCATGTGTTTAAAGCATAATCTACATTGTGGCATTGTGGGGCACCCTTAATACACACATGACTTAGATGAAGCAAGTAAGTGTACTTATTACCTGTGCAAGCCTCATAGACACAACAAAATAGATGGCAGAATATAATATGTAATGCTCTGATTTATACAAAAGCTTAAATATGCCAAACAATATGAAGAGTGCTTTAAACATATTGTTAAACAGAAGAAGTTACTTTTAAAACTGTATGTTTATGCCAGGTGGTGGCAGCACACACCTTTAATCCCAACACTTGGAAGGCAGAGTCAGGCAGATCTCTGTGAGTTTGAGGCCAGCCTGGTCTACAAAGCTACACAGAGAAACCCTGTCTCAAAAAAAAAATGTATGTGTAATGTACTTTATGTTGGCAAACTGTCATGTGTTTTGGAGCTCACTAAGAAGCTGGCTCTAGAAGCTCAGAGCCCAAACATGTTGATCTCAAAGTGTCCTTCAAGTCCCCTTGCTGGAATAGGCTCTCCCCTACTAACTCTAAGAGGGAAGAGAAAGAACAAGGCCATCCAAGTGTGTGAGCATTATCTCCTTGAGGAAAGTAAGAAGGTGACCTGCTCCAACAGAGGTTACTATTGTTTAGCCCATACTGTAAAAGCCCCTGCAGTGTGAAGGAGATACTTCTCACTCTTGGGTAGTCTATCCCTGGAGAGAAAACTCAATCCAGAACTCAAGCTTACTGTCTCAACCTCCCAGTTTCTATGAGAGATTGTGAGCTGCTGATTTGATGATGTCATCTCTATGTGTTTCCATCTATTACTGTTTGTTCTTTTTGTGTTTTTTCCTCACTCTATTCTTTATTATTGAGAATTTCATACAGGTATACTATAGGAGTGAATGCCACAAAGCTACCCGCCCAACAGGGCGGGGTCAAGGTAGAGATAAAAGGAAGTGAAAGGAAAAGGGGCTTCCCTTTTTTCTGCTGGAAGCCAGCCAGGCTTCTGACTCCTGGTCAGTGCGACTCTCTCTCTCTCTGGTAAATAAATATATTGTTTTCCCTATATAGTATCAAGTATCGTTATAGTATACAAAGAAATGTGATATATCTAACCCCAATTTCTCTCTCCAACTACTCCCATATCCCCACTCATCAACATGTATCCCTCCCAAATTCATTTTTTTTCTCTTTTTCATTTGGAAGTCTCATCCAAGGGCACCCTCTGCAATTCCTACTATTCCTAGAACCCCACATGACTACCTCAATGAAGCCTTCCCAGTTGAATTCTGCTGTAAGTTTTTTGATATTTTGAGATGTATATGTATATATATATTTGTCTGTCTTGATAATTACCACTTGCTACTTATTCTTTTACTTTATATTACTATATACTAAATAAGCTCATTCATTAAAAACCCAGTGTATGGCTATAGTAGATCATTACTAAATAAGCAAAATCAAGTTTGGGGGAAGTTATTATGCCTGATAATCAAGGAAAGCAGAATTTCTTCTTGAACAAAAGGTTCAAATGTACTGAAATTTTAAATTAACTTTTATACCGATCCAAATTAACTTATATTAACCTTTAGATTTTACAATCCTAAGCTATTTTGATAATAGCTTATCAGAAGTATTCACAGTAGGTAACTTAAAAACAATGTTATCAATTTCTAAGTTTAAACCAATTGTTATCCTTTGACAGAACACATCATCTGCTACCCTCAATGTATGTGGTACATATGTATCAGGCATTCTGGTGCCACATGTCTTTGCTGTATGCCTAAACCATATGTACATATATGTATAAATGTATGTATAGCTAAACATGAATTCAGGCATGTGATGGACGTAGCCTTAGAGATTACTTTCTACTATTTTCCCTGGCAACAGTGAAGGATGCCACAATCTGGGCTATGTGCTACCCTCTCTCCTCTAGATCGAAAGTGCCACATAGCTGGCTGGGTTCAGGCAGCATCCTGCAGAAAAGGGAGAGAATGGCTGTTTGGCTTGCTTAGAGATCAAATCTGTCTTCATCATTTTATATAACTCTTTCTTTAATTGCTCTTAATTTCTGATGCTTTCTTACTTGTATACAATGAAGTACGTCCATACCACTTTCTCCCATCTCCACCCCAATCCTTCTGGCCCCCTTTTTCTTCCCAACTGGTCCCCTTCCTACTTCCTGTCCTCTTTGTGTGTCTCTCTTGTGATCATGGTTGCTATGCGTTAATGCTTACCATGGCCTTTTCACATCCAGAAGATAATATTTTAAAGAACTCCTTTAGCTCCCTCAGTTCTGTCACATCCTCTCCCAAAATGTCCCCAGGGACTCAGGAAGGATGGTATAAGTGGTACCTCACAATTAACATAAGTGACACAGCTATGCAGTTCCCTGCCTTGGTTTGTTATTGTGGTCTTCCCAATTGGACATTCAAGTGCAGATGTAATAGAAGACAGTCATATACAGGGTGTAGGGGCTCTTCATTCTTCTTGCCTGATTTGAAAACTTGAACCACTTAGAGAATGCATTCATAGAAACACAAATTAACAGTGCAAACCACAATGAAGCAATCAGCGACTTTGCCAAAAAGTGAGAGAAAAGTGGACCGGGATTCTTATAATAAGATCTTTTCTTTATTGTAATTCATATTTTGTAATATACAATATTAAGTAAACAAAGAAAACGTAAAAGGGGTGGACAGCACTTGAAGAGTTTTAAGGCTTGCCTCAAATGACATTGTTCATTTAAGAGTTGCAGCATCATAAAATATTTGGCTTCCTAAATTATCCTTTGAAACGTGAGAGGTTGTTAGTCTGACAAAATCACTTTAATCAGAATCACAAACCAGTATATAGACATTTTGTGGACACTTACTCTGTGTCTCTGATTCTTTTTTTTCTTTTCGTTTTTGAGGCAAAGGCTCATGTGGCCCAGGCTGCTCTTAAAGGCAGTATAAAGCCTAGTATAATGCTGAACTTTCGACCTTCCTTCATTTCCTCTCTAAAGCTCGATTATACTCAAACACCGACCACACTGGGTCCATTCACTGTAATCTAACACTACAAATATAGCAATAAACATGGACAAAACTATAAAAACTATGATACCCTGAGCAACTGTAAGACCAGGAATTTACCCTGAGGAACCTGTATGATTGTAGATACATTGAAAATTATGAGAGCTATTATTTTCACCTCTGAAGCATGCGTATTTGTTGTTTCAAAAATACAAACATATTGTCTCGTCCTTTTATGATCTTTATTTCCTTTTTGAACTTGTCAATTCTAATGACTATTTTGTGGAGATTTTTAAATAATCTTTAATGCTTGCAATTTTTATTTCAGGAATTTTTAGAGCTCATGTTAGACCTACCAGTCTTTATTAACCTATTCCTGTTATATATGCTGTGATTCATCATGATGATACTCAAATTTTATCCTTAGCCAAAAGGAAATAACATATACATATGTGTTCAGTGTTTGCCTGTAGAGGTAATGTTTTCTATAAACAAATAGCCTCTGGGAATTATAATTTGTTTATCACTTGAGTCCAAGATTTAAATACCATCTTATGTTGGAAAGTCTATACTATTTCTATGAGTGCTTAGTTCCTCAACAAAAACCAATCCAGTGAGAAGATATCTTCATCTTGTGACCATTGGAAATCTTCCAAGTGTCCTACCTTCTCATTGAATACATAGCACCTCTGATATAGCATTGCTTTATTTTCTATAAAGAATAAGAGAATAATGCTGCAAGAAGAATAAAGGGGGAAAGACTAGCTCACTAATCATAAAATAGTTCAAAAGGCAGCATTGCTGGGCTGGGACACATATTCAATTTGCACTGCATTGCAAGTAGCTGGTGTTCCTTACTGTAGTCGCTGTTTTCGTCCTTGGTCCCATCAATGGTACCATCTGGATGCATCTGCAGGAAATATCCCTGCTGGCTGAATAACCTTGTCACAATCCCTTTCAGCTGGGGTTCTGCAAAACAAGATGAAATAATTATCTGCTTTTTTATTTTGTTTATAAAAATGCACACTTGCAAGTTGTTAAATGCATTCCATAAGTAAATGCATAAATGCCCATGTCATAAATATTGAAATTATTATTTGAAAGGGGACCATTTCTGTGCAATAGCTATGCCGTTCTTCCTCCTGCAGCAGAAACATAATACTTTGAAATAGTATGTCATGTTTAAGTAAATATTAAAGCTACTTATGGTTTGAAAACACAAACATGTTACAAAGGGAATTATCCCCCCTTCTTCTACATATAGTGCCTTCCTGCAAGATACCCCCAAGTTCATGACTATACTGAAAAGACAAACATGCCATGATAATGCCTAGGTTCCCTGATGTCACAATTAGGATCTGGAAGGCTTCTGATTTCTGTATGTCAAATACCTGCCAGATATGCCTGGACTTTGAGATCCTGGTCAAGTTCATTTGAAAAGAACTACAATTGTGAGCAAAACTATGAGAGAATGAGACCCTCAGAGTTACTAACCCTTCACCACAGAGGAACCCAGCAAAACTAACTTCTCTCATACAAAGCAAAAAAGCAAACCTCAAGTCATAAACATTTCCTTAAAAAATAAACCATAAGTGGTCCTCACTTTTAAGCATTTTGCATAATTAAATCATCAAGCTCCTTGGTGCAGCACATCTATAGCTCTGTACATCAGCTGATATAAATATTTGCAGCTTTTTCATTGTGGTGGTGCCTATAGCAACACACTGGTTTTTCCAGCGTTGCCATCCTTTCAGCGCTAGTGCTGGATGAGGATTATCTTAGGGTATGCACAGCTCTAATTATTTCATCACACATGAGGAAGAACAGAGACTGCTCTCTCTGTTGGCGGAAACTGAGGCAAAGCTGGAAAGCCACATGGCGGAAGTTAAGGATGAAGAATGGTGTTTGTGGAAGGACCATCACTGAATTTGGGCCTGTCGGCCTTGATCTTGGTGTTTATTCAACCAACATCAGTTAGGAATTCACTTTTTTCCCCTGTCTCGGAATACATCAGGTCAACTGAACACTTCAGCGACATTTAGTTCTAACAGGAATCTGGCATATGACTTGATGACCTTGATTGAGGATACGGGGCAATGTGTGTGACACCAAAGGTATCCTAAGAAACAAAAGATACACTAAGGAAATTGAAAATGAGCAAGGAGCAGTGACTACAGAACTGACTTGGAAACCAGGCATCCTGGATAATAGCAACTTATTCACTTGAATTAAATTAAATGATTTTAATTTGTGGATCTAAATTTCCTTACTGATACAATCCAGAAGTCAAACTAAGTGGGCCTTAGGTCACGTCTATGATTTGCTTCTTGTCACACTGGAGTCCTCTACTCTTAGTGGTGATTTGTCCTCCATGAATCCTACAAGCAATACCATGGCTATGTCAGAGAAACACACAGATACATAACAAACAACTGTGTCCATCTTCTGTGAGACTGCATAGCAGAGAAAAGACTTCTGGTATGGCCCACTCGGCTCCAGGTAGGCATGGGGTCATAAGGCCCATCTGAAAGCCCCAGCTTTCTTGACATACAGAGCAAACAATATAACAGCCGAGTTTCAGGTTTCTCATCAGGATTTAAACAAAAAAGAAATGCTACTCATACTGTAGCCACAGAGTACTTCAAATCAATAACTAGGTGACCGTATGAGCCAGAAAACATTACAAATCTATAAATCCTAATTAGTGCATTTTCAACTATGAAAAGCAAGGAAGCCAATGGGGTGAGGAAGGCATTTTGCAAGCAGACTCCACACCTCCTGGGTCTATTGTGGTAAAATACTGATTGAACTCGTGAAGGCATGATGTAAACAGCAAGCTGAGGAAGGACAGAGGGACAGAAAATGGCAGAAGGAAAGGGACAAGGTCTCTCAATCTGTGTCTTTCTGTCGAGCTTCATTCAGGTTACTTTAAGAAGTCCTGTGCTCTTTGGTAATGACATGCACAGCCGCTAACTCATTAAAGCCTGCAAATTACTGCTTGGTTTCCTCCTGCTTCTCTTTCCGTACCTGCAATTAAACACTGTTTTTTTGCCATGGTGAAGTTATCCCCCTGTTGGGACATTGGGAATTCAAGTTGGTAAGTCTTATTCAGAATAATGAGCACTAGACCTTTACACCACCTCCCTGTGCCAAGAACAGTGAGGAGTTAGAACCTGAATCTGAGTCTTAATTACCTGATATAGAAACACAAATGTCCTGAACCACAGCAATGTTGCAGGAGACCAGTGCATCTATTGACCATGCCCAGATTCCAGTGCAGGCCACTGCAAGCTGTGCAGCCCACCTGTAGCACAGTGCCCCATTCTGTTCCTCAATCCCTACCAGCCTTTCTAGGCTCCAGTCACAAGTAGTCCCTCCAGGAAGGTTGCCCAATGTGAGTGCCCTCACTGGTATGAGGGAGGGGAGTGCCTTGCTATATTTGAAAGACATGTGAAATACTAAGCCCACTTTTTGGCATATAAAGCATCCTGTTAATATTAAAAAACACATGTTCTTTGTCAGTCTGTCCTTAGGAAACTAGGAGATGAGAGAAAAGGCCTGTGCTATCTTCAGGGAGCATATAGGCTAATGCATGAAACATAAATTACACTAGTGTCAAGGGAGGGACCACTAAACAAGTGAAGCAATGTGCCATGATGTCCCCCAGAAGCAGGGACTAATTCTGTCAACATTAGACAAAGACACCACTGCCACTTGAGAAATGAACAGGATCCCCTCCCCCAGGTGCCTGTGTATTATTCATAAGTGCAGGAATGCACATGCATATATGTGTACATGTTTTCACATTATGAAGTATGGGGGTAGATGAAAAACAGACAGACAGATGATAGACAGAGAGACAGAAGGTAGTGAGAAGGTAAGAGGGCAACTTCAAGTATTGCTTGGTGGGCAACCGCTGCCTCCACCTTTTCTTGAGACAGGGACTTCCTCAGGCCCTGCTAAGAAGGCTGGGCTGGCCAGTCAATGAGCTCCAGGAATCCACCTGTGTCTACCTCTCCAGTGCTGAGAATATGAGTGAATGCTACCAAACTCAGAATTTTCTACTCTGGCTTTGGGGTTGAGCCATCTCCACAGCCTATGAATAGAATGTCCACCTGAAAAGCCAAAACAAATACCAAAAGATGGAGAGAGGCATTGCAAACAGAAAACACAGCAATCAGACTCTGACAAAGAGTCCAGCACAGATGGAACACAGAGAGAGCAAATTCTCAAAAACTGACATGCAAGTTAGTGTGCCCAACAAGTGTTTATAGATCAAGAGAAAATTCAGGAAAATAGTGAAATTTAATAAGACATCTAAATAAATTTTATTGAATTCTTCATAATTTAAGCAACGTTTAGACTTAGAACTATTTTGTTCTGATTTTTTTTTCTTCTATTTTCTAGTGAACTGGTGGCCAGATTACTTAATGGCGGTGGAGTTAGTTTGTTACGTTTTATGCTCTAAATCAGAGTGGCAATGCTTCGAGCATTACCCTCAAATCTATTTCCTCCTTTTCCTGGGCACCCAGCTCTACCATATGTCCTAGCCTCCGTTGCAATTAGGTTTGGCAGATGAAGGAGTGTCATATGGAATGTAAGTGGAAGTGATATGTGCCATTTTCAGGCCAAGTCTTTCAAAAGCAAACATTCTCTTCCCCGTTCTCTCTGGATTAAGATGGCTAAGCCCTAGGGGATGCTGGAGCAATGGAATGGAAGAATGCCGTGCCCTGAGAGAGAATAGCTATCAGAAATACCCACCTTAGGCAATGAGGTAAGTAACAAACAAATTTCCAATGGCTCAGTGTGGTGGCTTTCTTCTAATGAGAACAGTATGGAAAAAAAAGGATTTTTACGGAAATATGGCAAAACTCTACCTCAGCCAGATGACCAAGGAAACACTGACAGTAATAAGTTATGGTGTTACCATGTATCCTTGGTATAATGGGCCCACGTGGCATTTTTACCTCTGTGATTTTTCATTGAAAATGCATAACTTCTAACTGTGAGAGAAACACAAAGCAGATCTCAACCAACTGGCATACAAAACACTTGATTCAAACCCCCTCAAAACTGTCAAGGTCATCCAGGAAAAGGAAACAGAAAGTGTCACAGACAAGACAGAGGAGTACAAAGGGTAGTGATAGCTAAGCCTGTGCCATCCAGTACTTTCTTTGTCACTTCCTGTTTCCCTCTTAGTTCTCTGAGCAGTGTTCACACTAATGGAGCCCGGTCTGCATAGCCCAGGCTGATCTCACACTGGAGTTTAGCCTGTCTCAGTTTCCATGGTGATAGGCTTACAGATGTGAGTCCCCACAGACAGATCTTACCTCATGTTCAAAGATAAAGTTAACCAAACCAACAAACTGGGGTTCAGAACAAATTTCTAAGGTCACCCAACTGGCAGGCAGATGAGTGACCATCAAAACTCATTTTCTATATAAACAGCACCCTCTGTTTCCAAAGAGCAGACAAGACACAACCTTGTCTTGAGAAACCAGAGGGCAGGAAGAGCCAGAGGGCATCAAAAAGCGAAGGGTGTGGGGAGGAGAGCCAGGAAAGCAGGGCGATGTGGAACTATGGAGACTGGCATTAGTTAATGGAGTCCCAGCCGGTCACTGGAAAGTAAAAGTGAAGAACATTTGACCCACAGTGTGGAAATTTGTGAAAGATTTTTCCTTAATGTCTCTAACAAAAACATCCTGTTGACCACGTTTTATTTATTTCACTGCGGATCTGTGAGCATTAGTTGAGAACAGGTACTCATGCGTGAGATTTGATAATGAGGACAGGGTAAAGAAATGAAGGGCACTGGTCATATTTTGTGCATCCATACTTTGATAACAAATTAGGTTGTATTGAGATGGGGCCAATTTGTCAATAGTTGTCCTGCAAATTAGCAAATATGCTTGCATGTAACCTCTACTCTAAAAATTAAATTGCTTTAAAAGGGCACAGGAAAACATCCA